GGAGAAAGAGACATTTACTCCCAGTGCGTTAACTGGGAGTAAATGTCCGAAGTTTTGCTTTTCAAGCCAGGTTGACAGAGGAGAAGTGTGTATGTTCGTACAATAGAGCCCAAAACACACCTGTCTGAACGCCAACTCTGCTACTTGTCAGCTGTGTTATTTTGGGAACTCTCTGGTTCCCCGTCTCTTCATCTGTGAGATGGAGATAATAACGCCTGCCCTACAGCATCGTTTTGAAGGATGTTCAGAAAAACGCATAACGTCCCTAAATATAAAGTCTCTAAACTGTAAATCAAGCAGAGTGGGCATTCATCAAATAAATGATACCCATGACTATCGTTATTTTAGACTTTCTACAACCCAATAAACCAACTTACGTGATTCAAGTAGAACCACTAAGGAACAGGGAATCTTCACACTCCTATTTTTTCTAGGTTACTTGAAACATCACTTTTCCATGTTTTAACATTTTCACTGAACAAAAATTTTTCAAAACAGAATCGTAATTACCTGCCTTTCAAAGACTGGTACATAAAATAAAAATAATTTAACCTTACCTGGTTGAGCCAACAGCTGCATTTTGCCGTAACACTAAAAACTAGGGACCCCTGTGTGTATGTGGGTGGTTTCACCGGCTGTTTTAACACCCAGCCAGGCAGTCAACCATCATGCCTTGCTCCTGCTGAGTCATCGCTGCCTCCAACCATTCACTTCCTCTCTCCATTCCTGAGAAACTAGATTAAATGATCCAAACGGAAGTGAAATTGGAAGAAATATAAGTGGGCGTTTTGATGGTCTCATCTCTTTTGAGAAAAAGCACAAACTTTAATGCTGAGAGACCTTTGTGCTCATGTTTCAATTCCTGACTATCGTAGAGTTTACATTGTACATAAGGACCATTTTGACCAATGCGTTTTTGCCATGGGTCATTTTGTGTCATTTCCATGTCATCATATTCTGTACAATGAGGATTTCACACACACGAAATTTTTTTTTGGTCTATTTTACACTGGCTCAAAAAAGGCTCCAAATGCCATCAAAGTTTGCCTACATTATCTGAATATTAACTTACTCTTTCTGCTTAGAATTTGTGTATTGGTGACAATTTGTGTATTGGTAATTTGTGTGGTAGATTTAGGTGAAGGGTTGAATAAAGCTTTGTATCTATTACTACCACGAAATAACGCCAAAATATATGAACCACACAGTCTCCTGTATCCACGATAGTCTAGGAAATTTATGAGATGACTATTCTACATGTTTAAATTAATGAGAAACCTTAAATTAACTAGAAATTCAGAGAAGTTATTTCCAAGAAATTAAATCACAGTAGAGCGTCCATGGCAGGCACCTCTTTCAGGACTGTCCTATTTCTAAACACTAGAAACATAGAGACGCTGTAATTATTTGAAATCCAGGCTATAAAGTAAATAGTATTTCCGACCCGAGGTTAGGAATCTGTGGATTTAGAGGGTCAACTAGTTACATGCGGATTTCTGACTGTGTGGGGTCGGCGCCCTAACCCCTGCGTTATTCAGGGGTCAAGTGTAAATATTAAATTACCGCCAATATAAATGTCTACTTTGATGTTTTTATTTCATTCAGTAAAACTAAGTGGTTAAAGTGCCTTGAACTCTTCCCCATTCAGTTCAGTAAATAACTATGAAGAGAAAAAGGAGTTTAGAGACCATTCTTTTCCTTTTTTCTCTTTATCACCTTTTATACTGAAAAACTACTACGACGCAAGATTTAAAAAAATAAAATAAAAAAATACACCTTCCTGCCCATCTCTAGTCTCTGACTTTCTATTCCCTCCACACAGGCAAATACTGTTATCAGGTTTTGGGTTAAGCTGCCAGAAACACCCTCTCGTGTGTGTGTGTGTGCGCGCGTGTGTGTGTGTGTGTGTGTGTGTGTGTGTTTGTGTGTGTGTGGTGAGGGAGGATACGTGGGATGGAAAAGGAGGGTGGGAAGAGGAAATCTGTCACTGGTCTGGGCGTTAGAATAAGATACGTGTGTTCTATCCTTTTGGATCACGGTCTGCCATCGGTATCCATGGTAGGGATACACTTAAACTTGAAAATAATCCTGTAGTCTTTATTTTTGAAATTATAACCCGGTACGTTAACCGCTTGAAGGAAATATCTTCCCCGAATCCCTGAGATCTTTCTACTAATAAACTTTGAGGTGGGAAAACACGCACATACGTTTTTAAAGAACGCAAAGAAAAGGCATTGCCATCGGGCTGCCACCTACCTCTGGACCCGCACAGTAAGCCAGGCAGGGACCCATGGGATCTGCGGTCTCCCTCCGCCACTCCTGCCCAAGAGCCTGTCACGGCGCTGGGGACTGACAAGGACTCTGCCTGACCAAACTTCAGCCAAGTTTGAACCTTCTCCCGGACCCGTCTGTGCACCCCCTTGCCAAACTCAGCTTTGGCAAGGACCCTGCTAAGTCAGTTCAGCCAGAACACCCCGTCCCCCTGCCCTGAACGTATGGTGGGGTTCCGTGCCCACCCCTGGGTGATGTCCGATCGCCCTGGCCTGCATTCCGCAAAGCAGCCTGTTAGGTGGGCTTCAGCGGGAACCCCCTTACTCCGACGTTTCCTCTCGGG